TGATGCACTGCTTTTGGTTGTTTATTCGGTTTTCAGAGTATAAACCCCTATTTTGGTGGTGACATTGGTCTTTTTAATCTTTGAGGAGATATTTAGCACCTGAGTCCCTTACATTGATTTAATTTGGGGGTATGTGTACCCACCAGCAAAGATGCCATGTCCTCAACACAATCCTTAAAAAAGAGAGGCTCTAAACCCAAAAGATTTTGAGATTGTTTTTGTTATCCTAGATTTTCAAACTGTGTAGCATTTGGAAAAAGTTTTGGTGGATTTATTCCTTTAGATGTCTTTTCTTCTTTTACCATGCTTTCAAAATGAAATGTGTATTTTTAAAGAAAAGCTCAAATTACCACCTGCTCTAACATTGTCTTCCCTAGAGAGGCTAATAAGTGAATCACTAAAAAATTACCTGATAAAATCATTAGAATTTATGTCACTTCCACCCCAAGATGAGCCATGACAAAATCAAGTAGATTTGACGGTAACAGTACAGCTAGGATGTTTTCCTTAAATAATTGCTTGCCTTCAAGTCCTGCATCCGACGACGGTGATTTCACATCCCAGAATTTAAAGGTGAACAAAGGAGTGACAAATGTCATTGGTCTTCTTTAGAAACAGCCTGCCTTATCTTTGTTTGGAGTGCACACTTGTAAGATTCTAGTTTACATCCCAGATAATAATGCAGAGACATATACTTGATGGGGAATGATAACATAATTTGATATAATACCTTTATCATTTCAGTTTCTTGACTGTCACATTCTGTGGTCTATGAATAGCTGTTTAGTGATCTGCTGTGTCATTTTACTGAACTAAAATAGTTTACTGCAGCCATTAAAAAAAATAAAAAATTCCTGATTACCATGAAAGAGTCAAGGAGCTCTGTAAGCTATTCCTTGTATAATTGTGAAATGCTTCTTACCTTGATATGTAAGTGCCACTGAAGTCCTTGGACACCTGTCATTGGCTACATGTTTCTGCTTTTCATTCAGTAAAGAGCATCCCAGTAGTTCCCTCCTTGGTAGGACATTTGAGGTGGTATAAAAGGTCACTGGAGACTTTTCACTGAAAATTCAGCAAGGGTCCTGAATTTTGGGTTACTGAACCATGAATCTGTGGGTAATGAATTGCCAACACTTTCAAAGGAACTGCCAGTGAATGTAGTATGAAATCGACACACTTCAAGTGGGGAGGAAACTAAAAAAAAAAAGACATTAATTCTCTACAGCCACTTGCTTTTGCTCTTTGAAGAACATCATGCCATCCCTGATCATGCCCCTGCCTAATCCAGTATCTTCTCTCTGACAGTGGTCAGTGCCAGATGTTTCAAATACTGTGCTTTGTTTATTCTTAGCCAGTCACCATCAAAGCATTAAATCCCTTCAGTATCTTGAGCTTGAATGAACTCAAGTTATTTTGAGACTGCTGATGGAAGACGAGAGGAAGGAGTTGTTTCAACAAGCGATCTGCACTAATTGCAGGGGTTGAAACCTTCCCCGATGCTGAACTCGTAATATGAAAGGCATGCTCTAGGATGGCTGTTTTGACAGAATAATTGAATATTCAGAGGAGCCAGCAGTGTCTTGATGGCACTTTGGTTGTATTTCTCTGGCTCATTAATAGACCAGCCTCAGGGAAAAGTCCTAATGCACCGGAGTAACAGTGTGGAAAGGAGGTTTAATGTTTTGTGTTATATTCTGGTTTTGTTTGTAGCTTATTTCTCCCAATGCCCATCTTGTATGATTGCCTTACTTCTGAGGGAGAAGAGCTGGTGTAAGTCCTCGACTAGGTGTACAGCATTAACACAGAGAATGTGTTCTACTGACTAGGAAAGGAGATACACTTCAGTAGTTCATTTTAACCCCAGAGCGTTTCCTGTAAGAAGTGAGAAAAAGTCACTAAATTAAACAGGGCTGTTCCTTGATGTCATGCAGCCATGTCACTTACTCTAATTACTGGTGCTGTGTCTCAGTCTTTTTCTTATAATCAAATGCTGCCCTGGAGACTTGGAAATTAGTATGTTGTTTTGAGTAAATATACACCTTGACGCACTGCAACAACAGAACTGCTAAATAAGAACCAGAGGCTAAAATTTAGATAAATTGGAGAATCCAGCCCTCGTAGTGGCAGCTTGAACACTGAAGCCAAATTGCTGTTATCTCTTAAGAACAATGATTGCTGTTATCTCTAAGAACAATGACTATAGTTGTTTTAGGCACTTTGAAATTTGTTTGGGCTAACATTCTTACACACAGCTCCTGAGCTAGGGTTCAATATTGGTATGTAAAAAGAACTATTCCTAGTAAAAGCTCTGAATATAGACTATACTGTTTGGGAGAGTCAGAGAAAGTTGCTAGACATGACCTTAGGGATGAGAAGAGGCCCTGGGAGTTTTTAGCTTAGTGTAGTAAATGCTCTCTACAGATGTGTCTACAAGGGTAGCTAGAGTTGAGGTTGAAATTATTCTAAGCAAGCCACATGGAGTTCTCTCAAACCACGTGAATTGTACTTCCTTGTGTGCATTATCATGTCTTGGAAGACAAGAAGATGAACGTGAGGAAGTGGTACACCTGGCAGTAATGAAGCATAACTGCATATCAAACTAGGTCCTTGGTACAGCAAAGATGTTGAGAATCTGGCAAGAGACCCTTTGGCTGCCAAGAAGGCAAGGATACTGGAACATATGATCAGTAATAAGAGACTAAGGGAGGTATCAAGTTCATCCAGAAGTACAGAATAAAGAGGGCGGGATCTAATTGCTGTTTTACACTATCTTAAGGTACAGAGGAAATGGAACCAGTCCTTTCTCTGAAATATACAATGAAAGAATCAGACAGAATGAAAAAAAAATCATAACAGGGGAAATTCCAGTTGCATGCAATGAATTTTTTTTTCACTGGGGAAGTTGTTGAGCATCGGCACAGACTGCCCTGAGAGGTTGTGGAAGCCCCATCTTTGGAGATATTCAGAACTGCACAAGGCCCTGCTTTGAGCAGAACGTTGGACTAGATGACTTACAGAAGTACTAGCCTAAATTATTCTGTGATTATGGGCTACCAAGAGAATAGTCATATTTTAGCCTTTTTTTTAAAAAATCAAATCTAAGGTATGCCTCAGGTTCCCTTTTAGAAGTTTCTCCAGGGATTATTTGTTTCTCTAAATTGTTTTGTCTTTTCTCTATCTCTTAAGAGTCTACCAGCAGTGATCTCACAATGCTCTGTCCCTGTCTTCCTTTACCTTTTCTTAAGAGGCCCTGTGGGATTACTGCTGGTAGACTTGTGTTGGTGGCCAGCAGTGAGGAGGGGACTTGCAAACTCATTACAGAGAGTAAGTCTATAAGGTTGAACGGGACCATGGATGACACTGCCATGGTACGTGCGATAGATTTCCCTTCACAGATGTCTCTATATCAGCACCACAGCAGTTTTCCCTCATGCATGAGTGAAGCAGTCAAGATTTGTTTGACAGTTGCCATGGCAACTTGACTGCAATCAGCTCTTTTAACTCAATGTCACTTTAACACGGCTTTGTCTCCATGTTTTATTCTTGTTAACAACCTTATTATTGTGGATAATGTCATTCTTTAACAAAGAAAGAGAGATTTGGTCCTGCATACTGTTTTCCTTTTAAAAAGATTGAAATTTTGCGGAATTGGAGAGAAAGGAAAGCTTTCATGACAAAGGCCTAGAACAGGAGGTGTAACCAGAAGAATTAAGATAGTATATTTTGAAAGGAGATCAAAGATATGTCTGGTGTGCCATGATGGAATAGAACTTCATACAACCAACTGTAAGCCCAGTTTTCTCCTTAGTGGCTCTCTGTTTGGGCCTTTCTTGCCCATGATCATAAGTTCACAGGAAAAATAAAATTGGAAGGTACTTCGGTTCTCTAGTCTAACCTCCTAGGATCAACTAGGAGGTGAGACTGGGTTGCCTTGGGCTTCGTCCACTAAGGTCTTGGAAACCTCCAAGGATGTAAACTGCAAAACTTCTTTGGGTAACTTGTTCCACCTCTTCACTGCTCTCGTAGTGAAAAAGTTTCCCCGTATACCTGGTCTGAAACTCTCCTGTTTCATCTAGTGCTTGTTATTTCTCAATCTCCTACCATGCACCACTGTGAAGAACCTGGCTCCATCTCCTTGATAACCTCCCTGCAGATACTGGCAGGATGCTATTAGTTTCCCCAAAGCTGTCTCTTTTCGAGGCTATTTACAGAGCGCGTGCTCCAGCTCCCAACCATCTTGGTGGCCCTCTGTCTTACTCATTCCAGTTTACTGAAGTGTGTCATGTACTGAGGTGCTACAAAATGCATGCAATATCTCAGTGTGGTCTAAATGATGAGTCTGGCTCAGCTGCATTTCCTGTAAACTTGACAGATACGCCAATGTAAATAAGCGATATGATTGGACTAGGAGTTTGAAGCATATGAATATTGCTTCCGCTAAATATATATAACATGGCTGAAAGCCAAATCGCCAAGCCTCCCTCCCACCATGCCATTGTCTCTCTCCTTTGCATTTGTGTGAGATGAGTAATAAAATGTGTTCCCCTCATTGTTTGTTTGTTATATGTTTGTTAGACTGCACTACTGTAAATCACAGAAATGTTTAGCTTGGAAAAGACCTTTAAATCATGAATTCCAACTGTTAACCCAGCAATGCCAGCTCCACTGCTAAACCATGTCACTAAACACAGTATTTACATGGCTTTAAAATACGTCCAGGAATGATGATTCAACCACCTCCCTGGGCAGCTTCTTCCAATACTCAACCCTTTCTGTGAAGAGTTTTTTCCTAATAACCCATTTAAACCTCCCCTGGCACAACTTAAGGCCCTTTCTTCTTGTCCTGTCACTTGACTCCCACCTTGCTACAACCTCCTTTCAGACAGTTGTAGAGAGCAATAAGGTCTAGCCTCAGCCTCCTCTTCTCTGGGCTAAATAACCCCAGTTCCCTCAGCTGCTTCTCGTAGGACTTGTTCTCTATTAACCACCTTTCACTAATGACGTTTTTTGTTATGGTTTTTGCAGGTTACATATCACAAGTGCTAAAGAATTACACTGACCATGCCTGCGATGGAGATTATGTCTCTCTGAGATGTCCTCACAGAACCACCATCAGCATCCAGTCTTCTTTTTATGGCCGAATTGTCCCAAGTCATCAGATGTGTCCTTCTCGCTATCCCCACTCCTATGCAACTTTAATTAAAGAAGATGTTGCCTGTTCAGTTGGCACTTCCCTTCAGGTATTGCATGTTAAACCAGACCTGTTCATTTTGGACTTCATCTTTCCTTGGCCAGGCAGTAGCTTTCTGTGTGGAGGCTGCATCATCCTGTATTAAGCAGTGCTAGCCAGCATGGAAGCACTGAGATCTCACATGGCTTAGTGCATAATTCATCTTTATAATGTAGAGAGTACTGAATTAGATTTTGCTGGTAAATGTCTTAATTTTGCTGCACCTCTAGTCAGTAACATTTAGGAACGTGGGTGAAACAGAATTATGCTGTAAGATCACATTATGTTTGACTGGGCTTGAAGATTGTTTTTATAGTTCTCCTTCCCAATGGTTAGCTTTTTTGACATACTCAGAAGTTGCTGTGCTGTTCTTTTTACTTCAGAACTGACCATTTCAAGAGGCTTTTACTTTGGTAACTTGAAACACAGAGACAATCCTTGGCTTGACTTCTTCCAGTTCATGTGACTTTTGGGCCACTGTAAGTGATTGTACATCACTTAAGTTTGTAATGTCCCAAACATCAGTAGTTAATCAGCTCTGTCCGTTCGTGTAGGGGATGTTGACTATATGTATCCTCCCAAGAGCAAGTGTGACATCAGCAAATCAGAAGATTATTTGCAAGGTGCCAGTGTTACTCAATTGTCAACAGGAACAACTAAAATTAGAAATGTGAGTTGGCTGATGATGTTGACATGAGTGGGGTTTGCTCCTGGATGTTGAAGTAAGCAGAAGTCTTTCAAAGTACAAGATCTGGGGCTGTGAAAACCTCTGGGCAAAGACCTCAAGCATCTAGTGTGTTTATGGCTATGAATCATTCATAATAAAAATTTATGGCAGAACTAGATTAATGAACCTACAGGGCTGGTGAATAATTTCTTTTATAATTTGGCTAAAGGCCAGAGTTTTCCGCATCACTTCTTACTCTTGCATCCAGGGTTTTTAAGAGGAATTTACAGCATTTTTTTTAAAGTTGGTATGAGTACTTTGGCTTCCAAATGGCAGTGGTAAACTCTCAAGAAATTGCACAGGGCTAGTGTTTGTCCGTTGTGTAACCCTTAACCAGGGAGATTTGCAGTTGCACTCATACCCCTGCACAAGTGACTGAGTTGTAGTATGGAGAACATGGCCCTTAGCAATGGAAGATTTTCCCAGATATAATCATGAAAGTTCATAATTCAACAGGTAGGAGGCAATCCTGTTGTTCAGAGTGGGAGAACACGGACTGAAGACTGTGGCAGAGGCTAGTCTTTCCTTCTTTCTTCTATTGATTCACTGCAAAATTTACTTGAAACATTTCATTTACCAGCGTGATTGATAGCTTTGTGTGTAGCTTCGTCCCTTGTGGGTGAGCGGCCCACTTAAGGCACCTGGAAGAGTTTGAGAACAGGGAATATGTAACCTTTGGCTTTCCATGCCATGGTTTTATGTGCAGGAGGGATTTAGAAGAAATCCTTACTTGCCTGTCTTAGCTCCTTATGGCCTCAGATCTGTTACCCATTAGCTTTGCCTCCAACACTTACAGTGCTTGTAATTACAGCTCCCCTATTTATCAGAGTGAGAATTGTCTTCCCTGTAGGTAGTCTTACTGCAGTTCTCTTGTACCGCGATGCAGATGTGCTAGGGAACTAGTTGACATTCTCTATTCTGCCACAAATTTCTTGTGGAACCTTGGGCAAATCCTGAGCCTTTTTGGAAGAGGCCCACAGAGCCTGTTTCATGCCATGCAATGTGGCTTTGATATCTCCATGTTCTGTGCTTGGCCAGGGTAGGATGAGTCTGACTGCCAGAGATTAATCTTGTCCCCTTTCTCCATCCTGGAGGGGAGGGAGGCCTCTCTGAAGGGTAAGCTAGAAACATCACAAGCTGAATGCCAAGCTTCCTGCAGCTTGCTGGTAGGAAATGCATGTATGTAGGAAAATTGGAAAGCTGTAGAGAAGGAAATTGTGTGTATTTTTGTGGTTTTAAAACTCAGCTATATGGCTGCTATAGGCAGGACCAATGGTGTGTGTATTCTAATTGTCAGGAATTAAAAAAGTCAGCCAAACCAAACCCTTCAAAATTAAGTATATAAAATCACTGTGTCTAATCAAACCCATGATAGCATAAACTTGCTGCTTCTCTGGAGAGTGGCCTGGAGGGAATGTGAGGAGCATTTGTTAATATTATTCCCTGCAAACACTGTGAGTAACAGCTAATTCCCATTTAGAAGCTCTCTCCCCTGTAAATGTCCAGTTAAGACATTGTTTCTATGTTAAAAAAGAAAAAAAAAAAAGAGAGAGAGACAACCACTACTAATCCAGCTGTATGTGGTTGGCTGACAGAATCCCTTGCTTCAGTCACTTGTTTTTTGTTTGAAATGACATGCAGACCATTTGGGAGAGCACGTCCAAGACATTAAAGCAGTGACCCCAAATTACAGATTTCTGTTATTCTAACACCATAATGTCAGATTCACTGGGAGATTTCCAAACACGCAAAGAATTTGGATGTTCAGACTGGGATTTCATTTTTTGTGTGGTTAATCTCTTGTTAAGTTTTAGATCAAATCACATGAACGTGGAGAGATCAGAATAACAAAATCAAGTTGTGTTGAAAGCCAAACATTATTTGCTTTTTTAAACTGCTTCCCTCACTTGCCCCATTCCACTCACGACAATCAGCTGGGGACCGTCCTCATCTGTGTTAGCCTCTCCCTTATGCCGCAGTTCTCTCTCCTGTCACACTACTGCATACATTTGCACTTCCCTGCCATGGGGGCATCTCATGAGATGCTGCCTCTGGGGGAACACAAAAGTTGATAAACAGATACAGCAGCAGTGTATGTTTATTCAGATGGACACATAAATATTGGCACAGAGGACAAAGGAGAAATAAGAGGGCTAAGTGTTCTGCATCGCCTCATGATAAGCGCCTCCCGGTAAGTGAATCCCTTAGGTAAGAAACCTGTGCACTCCTAGCCAAGCTCACAACACCTGACTTGTGCCCGAAAAAATATATTTATATTTGAATATTTATTTAGTTCTGAAGGAAGTTACTTGGCTGAAAAGGAGGTGGTTTGGAGTAGCTTGCTTATAAAGCGTTGAGCAGCCACTCATTGCTGGATCAGTATTTCTGATGGCACTTGTTTTCAGCCATAAACTATTCAAGGTCTATATGGAAGAATGTTTAATGGCTGACCTAAAATTACTGCTTATTAGCAGAAAACTAGGTTATGCTTTACAGTAGATTACCTGCAACATTCTCATTGTGGTAAATTGATGGAAAAGTAAAACCACAGCTTATTTAGAAGGAAAACAGAAAGCCCTAGAGCAAGCTTTAGAAGGAAAACAGAAGCCTGGAGGGGTACTTACGTGTGATGTTTCTACTCACAGGTGAAAAACGTTGTAGGATAACTTCTGTCTTTATATATACACAAACTGAAA